ACTGGCTGGATTAAAAAGGAACTCGGGGCTACAAAAACGTACTGGCTAAAAAGAAAATGTACTGGGTAGCATTGCAAACTATTTTCTCTTTCATTGTACTTTTGTATGACTGTGTGCGTGTGCGTGTGTGTGTGTGTGTGTGCATGTATGTGTGTGTGCACATGTGAGTGGTGGGCAGGGAAGGACCAGTGCATAGCTCTCCAGTGGGAGTGGTTACCCCCCAACTCCTATGTCCCACCAGGAGGCAGCAAGCTAGAGCTAGTGTTAGCAGATTCCTGTCTTCAGCCCAAGGCTTCCATGACGCAGCATCTTCAGTATCTGTTGCTGTAATGTGAGAACAATCCATGGAGGGCAGTTCAGGGAGTTTTGTCTAGAGCCTAAGGAATAAAAGGCAAAGGGAACAGCATGGGAACACTCTGCAGACCAGGGTAGTTATTTCACAGCAGCTACACTTTATTATTGTGTTATTTAAGTGTCATGCTTTGTTATGATTTTTATCCTCACTGCACACATATGAAGAATCATAGGGAAATTTCCCTGTTTTATAAAGGAGAAAACTCAAGGTCAGGCAATCTGTAACTTGTTGTGTATGGATGGATTCATAAGAGCGGAAGAAGCTGGCCATGGTGACGCATGCCTGTAATTCCAGTGCTCTGGGAGGGTGAGGCAGACAGATCCCAAGTTTGAGTCCAGCTTGAGCAATTTAATGAGACCTTGTCTCAAACTAAAAAATAAAGAAGAGCTGGGATGTAGCTCAGTATGAAAGTCCTGGATTCAATCCCCAGTACACACACACACACACACACACACACACACACACACACAGCAGAGCAGAAAGGAGCTGAGACATAAGGACGGCTCCCAAGAAACGAGAGAAAAGGTTTCTTCTCATTTTGCAAAAGAAAAGGAAGAAGGGAGTGCAGATAGAATGATGCCCATCCATCCTGGAGTCTCCGGTCCTGTGTAACCTACCGCTATGGTTGGGCCTGGCTTCCTGATTTGGTTTTTGTTTTGTTTTGTTTTTGTTTGTTTTTTGAGACAAGGTCTCACTATGCAGTCCAGGCTGGCCTTGACGTCAAAGTTATCCTCCTGCCTCAGCCTTCTGTACTGGGATTACAGGCCTGCACCACCACACCTGGCCCTGCATTTGTTTAACAAGAATCTAAAGTAAGAAAACTAAAAAAGTGGGTCACAGTGGCATATGCCTGTGGTCCCATCTTCTCAGGAGGTTGAGGCAGGAGGACAGCTTGAACTCAGGAATTTGAGGTCAGCCTGGACAACACAGCAAGACCCCATCTCAAAAAAAAAAAGTGATAAGGTCATCAGCTCTCCACCCTCTAAATGAATTAATGTAGGAAGTGGGTTTGTTATCATGAGAATGGGTACACTTTGAATTTTGAATCATGTAGTACATTGCTTAATTTTTAATAAAATTTAAAATTCAGAATCAGGTAAAATGTAACTTGCAGAATTTCCTGACAAGTCACCCTGGAGTGAGCCTTCTTTGTCCAGAGAAGTCACCAGGCTGCTGCTCATTATTATGCATGTATAAGACAAGTGTCACCAGGTTCCTCCCAAGGAAGGCTTTATAGCAGAAGTCTTTAGAAAACCTGACTTGACAAGGATGTCCTTGGTACAAAGAGCTTCCCAGAAGGGAGTAGGGTGAATGTGTACAGATTAAATCGAGACTTCCACGAGGAAGATGGAGCGCCACCACTCCTTCATGTTGTTAGACCTCTGGAGAATTACATGGGCCCCACTGAGACTCTCCATCAGGAAGTCAGATTAAGAACTCCCAAGGTATAGTCACCACGACGGGGTTGGGGGGGTGTCCTACATTGGGGAATGCATCCCTACACCATGCCTTCATGGGATTCATGGGGTACTGGGTTGGGAACAGTGTGTGGCTAGAGATAAAATGCACTCTAGATCCCCCTCCCACAGCCATTTCCTCCACTTTTGTTGAGAGGCCGTGATTGTTACACCAGCCGTCATCGATTACCCTGACTCATACAGTCCACGTGTGCATTTTACAGAGGATTTGTTTCTGGCTATTAGAAATGCAGACTGAATAAAGAATGAAGATTCTTTTCAAATGAGAAAGGGTCCTTCAAGCAACCTTTAAATCTTAGGCCCTATCTTCTACCACATCCCTCTGTGTTATACTACCTTGGAGAGTCCCATGTCTAGGAGGAATAGGACTCCTGGAAGGGTTACTTCAGGCCAGGCCTGGAACATGACTGGGCTGAATTCACTTCACATCAACCATATCCTGAGTGCCCCTCTACACCTGGTTCCTGACTAAGCCCCTGCTAAGATATTCCTAAGATAATCAGCTTTTAAGGGAGAAAGGTTTATTTTGGCTCATAGTTTCAGAGGTTTCAGTCCATGGTCACTGGCCCAGTTGCCTTCATGCCTGTAGCAAGGCAGAACATCATGGTGGGGAGTTTGTGGTAGAGTGAGGTTGCTCATCTCATCATGGCCAGAAAGCAAAATGAGAGGGAGAGGAAGGGCTTGGGTTCCCATATCCCCATCAAAGGCACCTCCAATTATCTGGCTGGTCAGTCCTCCAATCTGCCTAAAGAGGGGTACAGCAAGGGCTAAAGAAAGACAAAGAGACACAATTTTAAAGTATGTGAGGGCTTGGGTGGTCAATGCCAGAATGGGCAAAGCCAAAGACACTTCAAGATAGCCACTATTTATTGGGTGCACACAATAATCAGAGGGAGTATCAGGTGACTCAGGGGGTGGCGGTAATCCTATGCTGATGAGGATCTTAAGTTGATGAGGAGCTTATGTTGATGAGGCTCTTATGTTGATGAGGACAGTGAGATGGGCAAAGAATTCTTACAACAGTAGATGAGGTGAAATGCCAAGCTAATAAGGAATTTGTCCTGCCCCTAGGCAAAAATTTCTCTTTCTTCATTACTACTCAGTTCTCAAGGAAGCAAGATATCTTCAACTGATGCAATCTTGCCCTTGAGTGTCACAGCATCATGAGACCATTGAGGCCTCAGCTGTGACTGTGACTGGAGGCACACAGAATTGTTTCTGCATGCCATGGCCAGCCCACACAACAAGAAGACATTAGGTCTCAGATAGCCCTAACCATAATTTAATTATGAAATTATTTTCCCCCCAAAATTACATAGAGTGGCTCTTGATACCCAATGACCTAACTTCCTCCCACCAGGCTCCACCCATTTGAGGTTCCACCACCTCCCAACTGCACCATAGGCTGCTGACCAAGCCTTTAGCATACAAGACTTTTAAGAACATTTAAGATCCAAACTACAACAAAGTCCACAGCACCCCTCCACCTTTCAGACCCTCCCACCAGGAGCCCAGGTGGCACAACTCCCAGGTCTGGAGGCTAAAAGTCTAAGGTTTGGGATCCTGGGAGGGCTTTCTTGTTGTGTCCTCTAGATAGCAGCATGGTAGAAGGCGAAAGGTGGAAAAGAAAATGATGCCCCCCTTCTACCTCAAGCCCTTTTATAGGGGCTTTGACCCCCTTTTAAGACCCCACATCTTAGTACTGTCACATTGGGAATTAAATCTTAACTTTTGGAATGGGGCGCAAGCACACACACCACGCCCTGCACAGCAGTGCCCATTTGCTCACATGTGACCATGTCATGGTCCTGTTCTAGGACCCCTCACCTGAGGCAAGGAGGCTCAGCTTGTGGCCATCCTGACACGCCCAGCCTCCCCTCCCTCCTGAGCCCCTCCTGCAACTCCAGGGCTGTCTGTTCTCCCAACTCAATGCTGCCCCTCTGTCCAGGGCACAAGGCTACCACTACTGCCTCAGTGGCCTCAGAGACAGCAGGGTGAGGTGGACTAGGCCTCACTTCTAACACTTCCTGGCCTTTCATTCCCATGTGACAGGCTTGACTGGAGACAACTGTGTGGAGTGCAGACACTGGAGAACCACATTGAAAGTGGATCCAACCACTTTCCTGGTTGTCACCAGAGTTCAAGGGAAAGGAGAATGAAATCCTCACATGGCCTCCTCACACCTCCTCAGGGGTACAGCCCACCAGTGTGACCTTGCTTTGCTCTGGGGATTCATCTCCTCACCACAGAAGGCCACACTCACCTGCCAGCCCTTCCTATGCCCATATCTGTCCCCAACCCTGTGGTCTGGGGCTGCCACCAGGCCTGGCACACTGGCTAGTGGCTGAGCTGTTAGAACTGGCTCAGTAGCAGTTATAATTGGTGGCTTGAAACAACATACATGTATGAGCTTACAGTTCTGAGAGTTAAGATTCCTAAGGTCAAGGTGCTGGTGTGTTCCTTCTGGAAGCTCCAGGGGAAATCTTGGCTCCTGACACCTTCCTCCATCTTTCAGTATCTTCAAACCTCTCTCTCTCTCTCTCT